TAATGGTATGTGCATTTTTTTTTTTTTTCTTTAACGTGTGTGTGTGCACGCGCGCGTCATTTGAACACAGCCATGTGATAGTCTGAGTATGATGTGAAATGATCAAAACAGGTAATCTGGGACACAAAGGGTAGATATTCAGGGTAGAAAATTTAGCAGACTCCACATCGTCTCTTACACTTGTAGAAATAAGCTAGCTCTGATTGAGAAGCTTGTATAATTCGTACTAAATGTATGAACGATGTCTGTTGGGAGAGTATTTTTCTGATGAACGTTACATGTTTTGGGCACTGATGTGCAAAGCCAACCTTTCAGTAGCATTATTAAGTGTCTGAAAGAATACATTCCTAACATGTCACAATATACAACAGTGTTCTTTTTCACATTTGTGGATACAGCAAAGAACTGCTCCGGCACCAAGAGTTACTTAATTTTGTAATTTCAGTCCAGGAAGTAGGCATGACCCTGCATGATGCTTGAACAAAGATGGCACTCCCCTGGAGACAAAAGAATATATCAAGGCATTGTCAGGGGCACTTATCAGGAATATATGTGTATGTATGTATGTATGTATGTATGTCAGAGTATAAGAGTTCCCCTCAAATCCAAGCAAAATGAGCCAGCTGTTCAGCCAAAGCGACCAAGGTAAATCAATATTTGTAGATTAAATAAATGTATATCAAAGGCAGAAAACTGGCAACATTTCACAGATTCTGGTGCTAAACCCGGGCAGGCTTAGAGCCATTTCACACAGACATTCCGATCAGATCCACGCGATGTTAGTCTATGGGCAGCCGGAGCTAAATGGACCTGTGTCCATTAACATCTGGTTACCCTCTTCACTCCCTTAAGGTCCAGAAAATTGTTTTAGCTGACCTAATCATGACGCATCATCGGTAATCTGATGTAAATGGACACATGTCAGTTTACATCCAAATCTTCATAGACCAACATGGGTTCAGTAATTTGAGTTTTTTCCTCAATCACGTGTGCCAGCCTAATCGGTTCCCCGCCCTGCTGTAGGTATGAGCTCAGATTCGGACTGAACACAAACTCATCTGAACCTGGAAGGAAGTAGATAGCAGTGGCCGAATCAACTGTGACCAGGGCATGCCCTACTCTGCCACTGCATGGAAATAAAGGGGTGGGATTCTGGTGACCTTACCCTTATATGGCCACATTGTCATATTTGGTCCATTACATTGACCAACTGTGTCCTTATAAGGTGAATGATGCCACCAGCATCTTGCCCCTTTTGTATACATGCAGCTGCAAGGTAGGGGGTACCCTGGCCGCAGTCGATTCTGCCAGTGCTGTTTGCTTGATTCCATGTTCGGTTCGAACTCAAGCACATCTCTACTATCTATATGTGGCTCCCATTCTCTGCATATTATATTCAGAAAATATTTACGTTGCCTCAGACTGCATAGAGGAGGCTTGCTTCCTAAATTCTTCTAAGTTGCTAGATTTGTTGGAGCAGTGCTAATCTAACTTCATATAATAAAACAAGTTTGTATGCATTAAGGTGAACTTGCTGCATTTGAAATTTTCCAGCCAGGCAACTTGCATTTTTAGAAGAATGGGTCAGCAGTGGCAGCCTACATATTCATATATAACCCAGTACATACTGATCTTTTTTTCAGAATTGAAGACCTTCCTCCTCCAACTAAGAAACTGTCCCCAGACTTGACTCCTCATGTATTGTTTACAGGGTTTGATCCAACCCAAGTTCAGCAGTATGTTAAGGTAAGGACCTTTCTCAGAACATTTAAGGCCTGAGGTGACATTTGCTTTCGCAGTGAATCAATCAAAAAATGCTAGCGGTAAGAATCGTGGCAAAACGGCTTAGTATGTTTTCATTTCTTCTAAATACTCAATACTTTTTTTTGTTTTCAGAAACTTTATATACTTGGAGGGGAAGTGGTAGACTCTGCACAAAAATGCACTCATTTGATTGCTGGTAAAGTAACGAGAACTGTCAAATTCCTCACTGCGATTTCTGTAGCAAAACACATTGTGACTCCCGACTGGCTGGATGAAAGCTTCAAGTGCCAAAAGTTTGTTGGTAAGGAATTATGATCTTTAAGTATAATATGACAGTATGCAGTTGTTCTAGTCCTTCCTCAGCATTAAGGCTGGGTTCACACCTAGGCGACAGCGTTTTTGTGCGTTTCTACTCGTTTTTTTTTTATGCCTGATGGGGTTCCTGTGAGACCCCAAAACGTTGCACTGAGTGTAAAATTGCTGCAAGTAGGTCAATAGACGTATTTGACTTGCATTTGGAGTGCCTGTGTCCAAATTCTTATTCATTTATGCGCATAAATCAAGTTGCGTGTTTTTGTGAGCAGATTGTAGCTCATTGATGTAAATGAGCGAAAACCCAGCAAACGTGCATTTTCAAGCGCTTCCTATTGTGTTTGGGGCCAAAACGATGCTGTAATATGCCAAACAAAAAGCTCTTATTTTTTCCAGGAACAGGCGTTTTGCTTATTGTGACAAAATGCTCAGATGGATGTGAACAGGGCCATAGAAATAAATGGGATTTTTTTTTTTGGGGGGGAGGGTATTATTTATTTTATTTATTTTTAAGCACGCAATGGGAATCAGGTCTTAGATTAGTAAACTATGTATGATCACTATTGTTCCACCTATCTAGTTGTTTTCCCCCAGGATCTGTCACATGGGACCTGTCGCCTCTCCAAGCTCACTCCAGTGATGGACTACAATCTCACGTTAATTTACTAATTTGTATTGAGATTGTAGTCCATCACTGGAGTGACCCTGGAGCGGTGTCTACTTTACAACACATAGGGACCATGGGGAACAAAAGTAGCCACCCTCCAGAAGGAAGGACAGTGTCAGCACCAATTCAGAGAGGATTTGAGGGTCTACAGTTAAGTGATCCACAAATAAGATAAATTTTTGTTAATAGTTAAGGTTCTTGAGTACATTTTAAGGTTCAACTTCTGAGTTTAGGCCGGGTTCACACCTGGGCGTTTTTCAGCGCTGGTCGAAACGCTGAAAAACGCTCAAATAGTGAAATCCCATACTTCCCTATGGGCATGGTTCCCACCTGGGCGTTTTTCAGCCCGTGGAAACGCGCTTTGTTACCGCTTTGTTAACCCCGAGCCACACTCGGGAATACAGCGTAGGACTTAGCTTCTCCACGATCCCCGCTGTGTCCTCCGGCGGCTGCCGGGTTCCGTCCCTTGTGAGCGGCTGCGTCGCAGGGGGGCGGAACCAGCGGGAAGTTTGAAGAAAATATAGAGAAAATAAAGGAAACATTTTTTAAAAAATCATACCGCCAGTGAAACGCACGTTTTCACTGAACGGAAAAACGAGCAGAAAAAATGTGCCTATGCTACGCCCAGATGTGAATCCAGCCTTGGTGTCACCTTAACATAAATAACCCTTCCTCTATTGTGCTGGCAGATTGTATCAGTTGTAAACTAGATTTGAACACCATGTGCCCTAACAAAGGCTTAAAGATCCAGAAGCATTGTATGTTAATGAGGGGAAGTTAAGCGTCCCTAGTCCTTTAGGCCCCGTTCCCACTGCGCGATATGCATATTGCGCGACATCGCGAGATTTGCCGCGAGATGTCGCGTTCAAGCTTGCATTGAGCAAGCTTGAATCGCGGCTAAATCTGCTACAAAAAGGGTCCTGCTGCAGCGACCCGCGACAGCAGGACCCTTTGCCCCATTGGATTGCATTGGAGCGCAATATCGCGGGAATTACCGCGCGATAAATCGCTCAATGTGAACGGGGTCTCAAGGGGACAGAGTTTCCTATCACTTGGAAATTGAGAGAGAAACTTGCAAAGGCCTGCTACACAGGCGCATCTAAAAGGTGTGGAATCTTTTTTTGATTATTTTTAGATATGCTATTTGAATAGGAACACATAACAAACAAACCTATAGTGGGGTTTTCTCAGAGACCAGGGCAGAGTTTGTGTGCAGATGTAGCGTTCTACTTAGAGGTGCACCGAATTTTCATATCGAAACCAAAAACAATTTGTCAGGACTTTGGGGGGCTTCAGATAAATATCAGGGGCCTAAACAGACCCATGATATTTCCCTTTTGAAATAGAAAAAGATTGAGGACACAGAATCTTCAATCTCTCTTTCTGCAGCCCTTGTTACGAATGAACAGGAAGCTTCAATATGGAGTGCTCCTGTCCATTCATAAACTGAATATAGTATGAATTACTACGTCCACAATCATGAATGGACAGGAAGTGATGTAGAGCACTTCCTGTTCATTCGTAATTGGGGACACTAAATACTGTGTCCTCCGTTATTTACAAACACTCGGCAATCAGCACTGATCGCTTGTAACCGCTATGCATCCTGACTCCTTCGGTTGTCACAGGAGGCTGAGCAGGCAGTGCGGAGATGAAAGCTCAGCCTTCTGCGATAAGGCTGACAGCTGTCTCCTCCTTGCTCTGCTCTCCATCCTGATCTGCCTGTCACCACAAGAGGCTAAGCAGGGCGGTACGGGAGGAGAGCTGACAGTGCTCTCCTCCCAGCCCTGCTTGCCCTTCTCTGCTCCTCACTGGGTGCTGCCTAGCGCCCAGTGAGGAGAGAAACTGGATGTACCGCATTTTTGGCATATTTTCAGACGAAATTTCAGTGCTTCCCTAGTTCTACTATAATCAATTTTAACATTGTATATGTAAGAAAAGTATTATAGTTTATCTGTTGCTGTCAATTTCCCTGAAAAATGCAATGAAGGTTTCGGCTTTGCTTGATTTTTTTTTTTTTTTCCTTTTAATTAGAGGAACAGAGCTACATACTTCGGGATGCTGAAGCTGAAGTCTTGTTTTGCTTTAGCTTAGAAGAGTCCTTGAAAAGAGCGCGGGTGACTCCACTCTTCAAGGTAAGATCACTTCCAGTTGTTGGAATGTTTGTTCCAGATCTGTTTTTGTTTGTGTGTTTGTTTATTTTACATATTCAGACATACAAAATATTGCCCATCAATTTACTTGACAATACAGCGCTGTAAAAACTGCTATAATAAAGTATAGATATAAACAGCAAGCCGTGTGCAGGTTCTTGGTATAGCTAGTAGTAGCCACATTCAACTGGACTTGTGCTGTAATGTAAATAATCTCATTAGAGCTCAAGTCGCAACTTGGATGAGCAGAAAAACGTCTTCAATATAATAAAACAAGTCTAGCTGAATGTGATGAACTACTACTAGCATTGTACTGGTTTGAAAGAAGAAAAGAATGGTGCGTGAAACACTCAAGGTGAGGTCCACTGATCTAATGAAAGCTTGCAGGAACTTTTAGTGATCAGCACTGTGTGCAGCTTGCTTCCAGACTTTGCTAAAACTCCACTCTCTACTCATCACCTGCTGGCTTCAGCAGTGCAGACGGTTTGAGGTAAAGTGTGCCTCGTACTGCTTAGGTTGGAGTAGAGTTTCAGGAAGCTGTATGATGGGGGAGAAGGGGCTGGGTTGACCCAGTTATAGTTCCAAGTTCTGTACTAACTGCTTTCTTACATACAGATGTGTAAAGTGAACTAGAGAGTAACATTTATTTATTTTTTTAATATATATATCTTTGCATTTTCAGGTTTATGTGGTGAAAAGTATAATTATGTTTAAAGCACACCTGTATTAAGGAACAAAATCTGTAAATTTAAATAAAAGCTTTAAATCCAAGTGAAAAAGGAAAGCTAAATTTTCCATTCGCTGTTTAATCCAAACTTCGCGTTGAAGTGTGTTCGGCCTCTGGAACGCAAGCCGGACGGCTCCCTGCATTAGTGTCTGCGTTCCAGTCCAGTGCCATGTACAAAAATAGTGCTTGCAGTATTTTTGCAGATCACACTGGACTGGAACGCAGACACTAATGTGCGGGCGATCGCACTGCGGGCAGGGGGTGTGGCCGCGGTGCCATTGATGCCAATGCACCGCCACTGCCCCTGAACGCAGGGAGCCGGCCAGCTTGCGTTCTAGAGACCGAACGCACTGGAACACCGAGTTTGTGGTGTGAACTGGCCCTTAAACACCAGCTGATTGAATCCATATGTGTAAAACCCCTGCTCCTCGGAACAGCCATTAACCCTTAACAATACTTAATATCAACCAACAGATCATGCAGCAAAGAAAGAATACACTCAGTTTGTTACAATGTAACCACTAAAGACCAATTTTTTTTTCAGGGAAAGTATTTTTACATTACTCCAGGGATATGCCCCAGTTTGTCAACAATGAAATCTATTGTGGAGTGTGCAGGTGGCAAAATATTAACAAAACCACCCTCTTTTCGAAAAATCATGGAACACAAGCAAAATAAGGTAAGTGATATTCCCACCTTTCAGAACTCCTGCCTTCAAGAATGTCTTCTAATAAGTGCTTTAAATGGGGCCAATATGTGAACTGCCATTCAAGCTGAGAGAAGAAGAGTGACATTTCGCCATCGTCCATTGAGGGACACAGGTCTGAAGAATTCTGACACGTAGGTTTTGCTGCTGCCTCTAGGTTGAATGGACACTAGGCAAAAAAAAATGAAAAGCCTGCCTCTTTAAAGACATAACCCCTCCCACCTGACACCTGCCCGTTTCACTTTTCATTCTCAGAAGAATGAAAGACTCCTTCTCTTCTGCTTTATAATTTTTTTATTTATTTTGTTCAGTGGTTCATACTGGATAAAAATAAATCTCTGGAATTTCGCTACCTAGCCTACTAGACAGTTCTGGTCCCAGTACTTATACTTTATCCTGCGGTGGTCCGGAGTTCCCATGATCGTTACTACGATTGTTACTTTGATCGTTCGATCAAGCCAATATTATTTAGGGGTTCCTATAGTGTGCAAAGGGAACAAGGCCATGGATCGTATGTATATATTATACAGTGGACGTGAAGATAGTCTACTTTTTATTACTGTGGCTGAGTAATGTTTAATTTGTCTCCATAATGTCTTTCATGCTTATTCTGGCGTTTGTGTACTTTTTTATTTGAAATTCACTCCGACACTCTAAAGAGGCTGGGACTAAAGGTGCCCATACACCTATCTTTATTTGCGTGATCTAGTTTGTGGTGAAAAGTATAATTATGCTTAAAGCAAACCTGTATTAAGGAAGAAAATATGTAAAGTAAATAAAAGCTTTAAATCCAAGTGAAAAGGGAAAGCCTTTCGGAAAGACATCTTCCATACGCTGTTTAATCCATGAGCATAAATAAGCTGTTCACTGTCCCACAACTTTACACTCTTATGCGCTCCACCATTTCCGAACGAAAATCTATAGGTGTATGGCCAGCTTTGCTCTGTGATGTCTTACAAATTCTACTTTTACACGCACACACGCAGCTGCCATCTTTAGTTTCTGTGCCGGCTTAGTTTTCCCTCACTTCAGACGTCTGCGGTTTGAAACCGCTGGTGGGCAGCAACTGGGGCAATCTTTATCGGGTGCTGCTCTTTTCTTTGAGAGAAAAAAGGATCGGACACAGCCACTGTCGGTGCCTCATCTGTCCCTTCGCACCTCATACTGGTTTGGGGCTGTGAGTTGTAAAATTTAAACATTAATTTATCATTGTCGGTGGAAATCTTATTTTTGTTTGTGTGAGTACTTGGAGTTTTCCCCACAAGCTTTTTGTGTTTTGAAAATGTTGTCTTTCCTTCAATCGGGTGTAGATGAACGTTTAGCTCTCAGTGCCATTAGCGTCAGATATCTGCCTTGTCTGTCCTTTTTTTCAACGTCGTCTGGCTTCTAATTGCTTGATTGGAATTTTGTCAGCGAGTTGCATGTGTTGTTCCTCCTGTTAGGTCTTCTTTTCCTCCATGGGACTTGGCCTGCAAGCACACCTAGGTGTCAGCGTTTTTGCACATTTGAATGCGTGTTAAACATGCGCACATGAAGACGCATGTCTTTGGCAGATTGAAAGACATTGCGGTCAACGCGCATACAAATACGCACAGAAATGTGCAAACCGATTCTGTCACTGGTTTTCCAGGCATTTCCATTGGTCTATGCGGCCAAACACGCTGTAAACTGCCCAAAAGAAGCTCATGTACGTTTTACAACTTGCGATAACGCTCAGGTGCGAACATGGGCCAATGAAATGAATGGGGTTTCTTGTGTTGAGCTTTAAGTGTATTAAACCTAATTTTATATGTTCTACAACAACCTCCTTTTGAACTTGTCCGAGATAATTCTTTGGGTTTATCCAAAAGGCTGCTTTTCTTGTGTCCATTACCTCGGCTAAAAGGATCTCCAACTTGTCTGCCTTGTCTTTGTAGAGAACCCGATTAAGAGCGAAGATTTCCTTTTTGCACCAGGTGATTTGGGCCTTTCATTGTTTTACCTTCACTTTGTCCAGTTCATAAGAAAATGTCTCCATTGTTACGGGCAATTAGTTTATCTGTCAGTCAGCGCTTCTTTTCGATGTTCAGACTCTATTTGTTGTTCCAGGAGGTTCTAGAAACCCTCTAGATCCACTATTTCTAAGTGGATTTGTCAGGTTGTCATACAAGCTTATGAGTTGCGGGATAAAGTTCCTCCTGTTTCTGCTCATCTAGGGCAGTTAGTACTTCTGGAGCATTTCAGGATTAAGCTTCTGTTACTCAAAATTGCAAGGCCGCAACTTGGTCTTCATACTTTTGCAAAGTTTTATATATATTTCTTCCTCTTCTGACGCTGCTTTTGGCAGTAGAGTTTTTCAGGCAGCTGTTTAAATTATTTGTTTTTTGTTTTTTTATGGCTTGTTCTTCCGGCTGTTATGTTGCCCGTCCCTCTGTTTGGACTGCTTTTGAACTTTCCTATGTATGAGAATTCTTTAGAGCGGTGTCCCTCAATGGACCATAGAGAAAACTGTTTTTTGTTTTTACTGTAAAATCCTTTTCTTGGAGTCCATTGAGGGACACTGCTCCCTGCCCTCATTTTCTTATGCACCGCTTGCTACAACTGGCAGGTGGGAGGGGTTATGTTCTTAAAGTGTCGGGCTTTTAATTTTTGTTTGCCTAGTGTTCATTTCTCCTAAAGGCAGCAGCATAACCCTATTTATTAGAATTCGTCAGTACTGTGTATCTCAATGGACTCAGAGAAAAGGATTTTAAGAACAAAATCCTATTTTCTTACATATACCATCTTTTGTACTACAGAAAACATTTACAGGGTTATTCACCAAAGGGTGAAGAGTTTGGAGAAATGAACAATCTTGGCCAAAATAGCTGAGCTGGAACGTGAGCTGAATTGGAGAATGTTTCCAAATCAGCTATGTTGTCCTAGATTGTTCACTTCTCCTGCCTTCTCCAAACTCTTCACCTTTTTGTGAATAACCCTGATAGTTAAATGAAGTGGGTTTTTACCGGGCAGAGGACCTGTATGAAATATGCCTTTTCGTTTGGCGGTTGATGCTCCTCCATTATGTCACCGCTTAGTCAGAAGCCATCTAATATGTCTTGATTGTGGGTGGAAACTGGATTAAGTGAAGGAAACCCTTGCAAATGCAGTGCGAACATGCAGACGTATGCAGGTGTCCCTGGTTGGATGTCAAGATCTTAGTGCTGCACGACAAGTGTACTAACCATTAAGCTGCTTGTCATGCTACATTTTATTCATCTAGATGAAGCTTTTATAATAACAATATCCTTTTTCATTTAAACATCCTATTTCTTCTTTTTTGTAGAGTTTGGCAGAAATTATCTTGATTTCATGTGAAAATGATCTTCATCTTTGCAGAGAGTATTTTGCTGGTAGTATAGGTAAGCATTATCCTTGGTAGTTTAATATGATCATTTTGTTACTCTGCTTTTAATGAGGTCTGATCATTTTTATTATCTTTTTTTTAGATGTCCATAATGCAGAATTTATCCTCACTGGAGTTCTCACACAAACTTTGGATTATGAGTCATATCCTTTGAAAATATGCTTAATGCTTAAAGCCATTCCCTTGGCATAAATTTACCCCACCTCCTCACACCAGGTTTTTCTTTAACGTTAGCATGTTTTATCCTAAAGCCACCATCCAGGTCCATTGTCACTGTTTTAAGGTGGGGTAAAGCAGTAATTCAGGGATGTAGATGTGCCCCTGGCACTGGACACCCAAAGGAGGACCCCCACCTCCTGTAAACAAATGAAGACCTGGGACTTGATTACTCACCTTAATCCCCGCTCATGTGATAAAAAAAAAGGGCATTTCGATTTTCTTTCCAACGCCAGTGATTAGTTAAAGAGGGGTTAGGAAGATCCTAGAGCGCGGCCTTAAGACCCAATTGAACTTTATTTTAAATCCGATTTAAATACATTCCAGGGACATCAAAACAAAAAGGTGTGCAAAGTCTTGAGGCTCATTCACATGGTAGTTCATGGCCGTGTGCTGCCCTTATCTGCGTATTTCTGCTGTGGGAGCAGCCAGGTGTTTTAGTTTGCAGACAGGAAGCGTGTACATATAAATGAGGGAAAATGCACGCAAACTGTTTGAGTCAAGGGCCGCTCATCTGTCCCTAACCTGCAGGTATTTGCTGTATGTATGTATAGATGCAGATAGCTGCGGAGCCTCTCAGCCTGAGATTAATTGGTACAGGCTGACCGTCTGCACATAATCTGAAACACATGGCTGTACCCACCATAAAAGTATGCTGATCTGGGTAATGAACAACATGTGAATTAGCACTTAGGCTGCTTTTGCATCTGCATTTTCATGGTTTGTATGCATGTTGACATTCGTTTTTTATGCGTTATGCTCTTTTTTGTTTTGGCCGTTGAAAGCTAAGTAAGGTAGAGGTTGCTAGGGGTTTGGGGGCTTGCCATGTGCTAAACTGAATGAAAAAGCATGTTACATGCATTGCTCATGCCCTCCTGTTGAAGTGTATGTGGCAAAAGTGTGCATTGATAACCGAAAAACACACCTATACTATGCATGGCAGGTCACAGGAGTGAATTTAGGATGGCTATAAATGGAGAGGTAATCGGCACTCCCTGGAAATTGTGCAAGCATTTAATCCAATCCATGAGCACCCATTCAGGGCAATGTAGCTTGAATGAATGGGGTTTTACTGGAATGAAGGCTACACTGAAACAAATTTTATAGGCAGTTATGTCAGACATATATGGGCACCCCAAAAACCCCAATATTATTCTTATGAGGATCCATTCCCTGGTAAAAAAAAATAAAAACATTTTTAATTCTATGTACAACACCTAAATCATAACTGGGCCCACAGCTGAGGTCAGAATCTGTTCTCCATATCTGATGCATTCTAGTTTTTTTGTTTTCTCCTTGTACTGTTTTCCTTAACCAGCACACATATAAATTTACATGAAGGCACTTTGGATGCCGTAGTATTGTCGGTCACACTGAAAGGCCCCAACATGTCTTGTACGGTCCTCGTGTAAAGATTTCCTTGGTGGCGATTCCTCGGAGAACAAGGAAGAAACGTTTATCTACATCTTTTCTTAGGATGTGCATTTTCTAAAAAGGAAACATAAATAATTATGTTTGTATTATAATATTGTTTTAAAAGCCCATCTGAGGGTTAATAAAATTATTTTCATGTTTTGTTTGTTCTGTAAAATAATGAAGTTACTTAAAATATTTTTGTCAAAAGAGGCAAATGTTTGTTAAATAACTGGCGAAAATAAACCTTTTGTATTATTTTATATTTCTAACCAGAGTTCATTTTTATATTGCCGTTTTCAAAGTTTCTATTAAATGTGCTTTGGTTGTATGATGTGCGTGCAGAGTTTTTTTTCTGTTCATTTCCTTAAGGTAAAGGGCCGGATAAAGAGGTCCTGTAGTATGAAAGCTCTACAGAAAAAGGGAAGCAGAAGACAAAGGACTGGTCACCAGTATTACCTGTGTTCTCCCTGCAGTTGATCTTTTTCCCTAACTGCCTTGTTCTGCACTTTCTCTGTGGATATGGCTACGTTGTTTGAGGAGCAGGGCTTTTCTAACTCATGTCAGAGCTACCCTGGTGATGACCAACTGGTGGAAGCACAGATCCATAGAATGAATGAATTAGGTTATTGGACTGCTGCTCCTCATGTACAAATTCCTCTACTGAAAGGTCTTTAGCAAAGTCATGACCATATCTCCCTCCAAAACTTGTGAGACTATCAGTCAGGCAGCAGTGCCTTAGAGGATCAGATACACAGCTATAGGATTCAAGGTGAAGGTGGTGTACTGCAATTATTTGTTTTTTTTATGGGGGACCAGGCTTACAAGTTGATTCCAATTCAGGGGACTACAATTGGCTGAAATAAAGTCCAAGTTCAGGAACAGAAATGCAGGCTCCTCAAGCAAGCAACCTCACCCCAAAGCTTTATATGCTGTATATCAAGTCAGAGTTCAGTGCTGGAAGATATGTTCGTTAAAGTGAAATGTTACAAATTTATTCAATTACTCTAACAAAAATATATCTGTGTATCACTCGGCTGTAGATCCTCAAATCATCTCTGAATTGGTGCTGACACTGTCCTTCCTTCTGGAGGGTGGCTACTTTTGTTCCCCATGGTCCCTGTGTGTGTTTTTAAGTAGCCATCGCTCCAAGCTCACTTGTGTGATGGACTACAATCTCACCTTTTAATTTACTTATTTGTATTGGGATTGTAGTCCATCACAGGAGTGAGCTTGGAGCGGTGACTACTTTAAAACCACAGGGATCATGGGCAACAAAAGTAGCCACCCTCCAGAAGGAAGAATGTCCTTTTGTCTCTTGCTCCCTACCCAACCTGATTGAGACATGATCCTAATTTGAGATGATTTCTGGCTTTCATGTTAGTAGCAGTAAATCAAGATCTTGGAATTTTACTGTCCCACAGAATCTGGTTACAAGCATGCAACAATCTTTCCATGACTGATTTCCATTGGACGGCTGCTCCCCTCTCTTGAAATCAAGCAATTATGATGGGTTCACGCTGCTTACACCTTTTCCTTCATACGGAAGTTGAATTCCCTCTTGAGCAACTGGCCCACCCTCCTGCTCTGATGGTTTGGGAGGATTGTGGCCATTAGAATGATATTCCTACCTAAGTTACTGTACTACTTTTGCATATTGTCAGCATCCGTCCCACCATATGTATTAGAGGTCTTTACAAAGTACATTGCTTTATCTTTAACAAATGTAGATTTAGACTTAATCGAACGGTCCTCATGAGCTATAAGCTAGCAGGTGACCTGGGTCTGCCAAATCTTACCAGGTGGCTCAGCTGGCAAAAATACCTAATTATGCCACATATGAAACTCCTATAGCCCGAGAAGCTAGAGTGTGATGCCCTCCACATTCTTGGCTGGCTTAATTTGACAGATCGATCATGCCTGCTGAAGTCTATTACAGTACACACTATGCAGGTTTGGGACCACAGTAAATATTCAGGGGATCTGTCCTTGAACAAACTTTTAATGTCCTTCCTTTTTAAGCTGACCTTCGGATTCAAATTACATTCACCGTCTGCTTTCCAGGTACAGCAACCTAAAGGTGCCACAAAGGCTGAAAAATACTAGACTCTGAGTGAATTGCAGCTGCCCAACAATGAAATCATTTTGTATGTCCAAATTAAACACTTCCTAGCCTCCAACAATGAAATCTCACGCCTCTTCCCTTTTGAGCAATGTTGGCATTAGGAACCCTACACACCATGGATTATCTCACTGATGTATTATTTGCTAAACAGCCGGCGTTCATACAAAAGTGTCATGCAGTATAAACATGAAATTCGGCCCAAATATGGAAAACCATGAAATCTGACTCACAAAATGCACAAGCTGTTGAACCAAATGATAAAGTTTTAACATGCTGGTACTTGGTAACACCAATGTGGCCAGTTACTCCCCACTATGTTTCCGAGTTTGGGACCTTTTTCCTACAACTGTTGGACTTTCTCAAATACACAGGAGTTCTGGACCACTGTTTGCTGTATGGTACGTTACACAAACCATGATCCATGAAGCATGGCAGTCTAATTCAATGGATGAATATTTCTTGATTTGGCAGACCTAAACATTTTCTACATTCTGGTTTAGATGAAGGTTTTCCCAATATACAGCAAATCCTGTATAATATTAATAATAATTAAACACGCAAGGTGGAAAATGGTGGCAACCTGTCCTTTACCATGTTCCCTAAATCTTTCCTCCCCACCTACCCCTCCCCTCCTCAATTGTAAAGCTGGCCATACACTGAGTGACCAGATTATTATGACCACCCCATCAATACTTTGTTGAACCATCTTTTGCCTTCGATACTGCGGCGATTCTTCTTGGCATTGACTCCACGAGATGTTGAAAAGTGATGCGAGGAATCTGACAGCATGCCTGATGAAAAGCACTGTCCAGTTCTGTGAGATTTGATGGTTGTGGAACCAGCTGCCTGATGGCTCCTTCAACTTCGTCCCACAAATGCTCAATTGGATTGAGATCTTGTGATTGTGGGGGCCACCTAAGCAAGGTAAAGTCTCCCTCATGTTCTTGAAACCACTCCTGCACAATACGAGCACCATGGCATGGCGCATTGTCTTGTTGGAAGAAGCCATCTCCATTGGGATACGCCATCAACATGATAGGATGAACTTGATCAGCAACGATACTTTGGTATGTTGTGCTATTCAGACGTTGTTCCACACGAATTATAGGGCCCAAATCATTCCAGGAAAACATGCCCCAAACTATAACACTGCCCCCACCAGCTTGAAGGGTTGTACTCATGCATGTGGGGTGCATGCTTTCATGCTGTTTCCTCCAAATTCTCACTCTGCCATCTGCATGATGCAACTGGAAACGTGATTCATCGGACCACAGGACTTTTTTTTCCCCCCCCAATGCTCGACTGTCCAATCGTTGTGTTCCTGTGCGAATTGGATACGTTTTATCTTGTTAACTGCAGACAGCAAAGGTGTTCGAACAGACCTTCGGCTTCCATATCCCATACGAGGCAGTGTACGGCGAACAGTGCGTTCAGAGAT